TGTCCATTCATTGTCGTTCAAATGTGATCTTTTTTAGTTGAGTTGACTTCTGTGATTGTTTTGATGAAGCGGTCTGAGGCTCACTAAACAATTCGTCTGCGGAAAGTTGCTTGCGAGCACAATTACATCTTCATTGATATGGTGAATAAGTGGCCAAAAACGAATGAAACTGATTTACAGCTATACGCAATACCGTTGGGTGGATATGTAACTCGACAGAGATGTACAGCGAGCGGCAGCGGTAGCACTTTTGTTCAAGGGTTTTTGGATAGTCAGTGGAAGGTTCGCATATCTTTTTGTGTTATAATTGATATCGAGATTTGATGCGTCGTAAACAATTCCATAATATGTATTGATCTATCGTATTGAGTAAATTGAATTGTAGCCGGATATGACAGTAGACGAATGCAAAGAAGTCGTGAAAACGGCCGTTGGTCTTGCAACGTATCGCGATGGCTCATCTGGTGGTGTGATTCGTTTAGCGGTCGTTGATAAGAATGGAACAACCAGATCGGTATGGAATTTTTCATTTTCGTTTCCTTCCATTCCATTTTATAGAAATTTAAGGATTTTTTTGTTTTTGAGTAGTGAATTTTCTGTGCAAGTAGTGAATAATATTTTGTGGTTATTTTAGTTGCTTCGGCCGGATACGAATCAGTTCCCGAAATTCGTGAACATTCCGGCACATCCAAGTTTCCCGAAGCATCTCGTTCAGTGAATCTGTTGAATTGAAAAATTATGATCTTCGAAATATGCGATTGAAATGGAATTTATTAAGTGATGGTATCGTTTGCTGGAGGATTTATCTATAAATTGTTGATTAATAATTTATCAAAATGATTTGCTCTTTGGTTTCGATCGTTTACGTTGATTTTATTCGGCGTTTTTCAAATGTGGTTCATGTATGATATGTCTTATTTATAATCATAATGAAACATTCTTATTTTATCGAGTGTCGTCCATTACGTTTGTCTACCAGCTGAAGCGCATTATGCTTCACACAGTTCATGTCACATAATTTCATGATTTTTGTTTGTTTTTTTAAATTGAAATTTCCAAAAAAACTGACAAAAAATCCATCATTGAGTCGAGCATCAGATATGTGAAAAGAACATAAAACAGACAATTGAACTTTTCATTTATTGAAACATCACAATCAATAAAAAAACAAACGCGAAGAATGCTTTGAAGTGAGGTAAAATTTGTAATGATTAAAGTGAATCTTAGAATTCTTAGGAACTGAACGCTAACAAAATAATCTCTAAGAAGATTTGATTCAAACTTTCGACAAGTATACAATTGGAAAGTCGCAAATTCTCTCTCATTCAACATTCTTTCAATTGAATATACGCAGCAAACATCAAAACTGAATACTAAACAAATTTGTGCGAAATAACTGAACGAAATTATCGAAAATTTACGTCAATGACGCATTGCGAGTGGAATATCGAATAATTGATAAGTGAATAAAACGAGCATTTGAAATTCGTTGTTTGTCAGTTGATTTAATTTCTTTACAATTACTGTCGAAAATTTTATAATGAATCGACGAATGGACCATCATCCTATTAAACACTTGAAATGTGAATGAATTTTTGCCAACATTTTCGAAGCGAAATTAATAGAGCTTTTAATCCTTGTAATGATATTTGTGTGGGACGGATCAGATTCGTTTNAAAATTTTCGAAACGATGAAAAGCCAGGATAAATACATTCCTTGTGAACAAATCACGTGCAATATGATATCATAAGTTCAAAGTGTTACAAAAGCAAACAAATTGATAAGCAAAAATGATGAATAATCACTGTTGTACAAATTTTAATCACAATAAAATTAAAAGAGTCAGCGCGTAGAAATCATCAGGGTTAGTAGAGTTTTATATATGCTGTTTAGTCTTATTCGTTAAAGTTGCTGCTGAACCTTAGGCTTCAGCTCAGAAGAGAGCTGAATGACAACTGAATCGCCTTGTTCATCCGGATGACTTCTACCGGTTGACATTGGAAGATTTTTGTTGCTTATGGCGTCTTTTAGTGAAAACGAAACAACATGTTCCCATAACAGAATGCAAATTAATTACTGACAACAAATTTTGTGTTTGTATTGAAAACGAACGAATTCGGTGTTACAAACAGACGGCGATAGTGCGTCTCACAGAACAAATCACCCGATTTTGAGCGTTGACCATTTTCTGCCCTTAAACGTGCTTCCATTAGTGATCAGTTTTAGCGCTGATTGGATCACTCATTCATCCTTTCGCTACTTTTATATTACTTGGTTCAATTCAGTTGGTTCATTCACTGGTCAAGTTTCTTGTTGACTTATAATTGTTCAGTGATAATCATTTTATGCTTTCAGTTTTGCAGCTTTATGAAAGTTGAATTTCGGTGGTGATAACAACAAAAAACAATAAATTTTCGAATCATATGATCCAAAAGTCCCCATTATTGAGTTCCAGTGCAAGTTGACGAACGTGCCAACACTGAATATTGAACCTATTGTCGTTCTAGAATATCATGCAATAGAGAGCCTATGAGCACAGCAAATCAAAAAGGGATCAAGCACACGTTTATATGT